TGAAAACTTTCCTTCCATAGTGAAAATATTGAATAAAAAAATCACCAAACCTTTGTGCTCTAGAAATCAAATTATTGCAAAATAGCTATTTTATTCAATTTAGTCTCTTTCAGAGATAAATAATTCAGCATACCTTGATATAATACATATATATATACATATACATATATATATATACATATATATATATATATATATATATATAAAACAACCTTTAATAATTATGCAAATAAGAGGAAAAGTTATTCAGGCTTTCGAGCTTTTCCCCGTGCCAACTGATGTTAAAAAGTACCAGAAGACAAGGAGTACTTCATGTCCAGTCTGTATGTGATTTGATGAAACGATTGCCTCAGGACCTACTGGCACTCTAATTGGAGTCATAATGCAGAATAAGAACCTTACTTAAAGCAGTGCTCTTTTTAGCTGTTTAAGTATCCCTTTGTTAATTTCATTTAAATAGCTCCCTCATGTAAATCATGAGTAAAATCATGAAATCAATGAATAGCTCTTACTGACTTCAGTAGGAAAGGATTTCATCATCTCTTTGCAAATCACTGCAATTGTGTGCATCTTAATTATTTTTTCTTCTCTGACAGCTTCCTCCTCATCCATTTTTGGGGGGTCTAATATTGCAGCACCTGAAGATAGAAAGGATTTTAAGATCCAGAGTTCTCAGTCTCCGTGATAAAAAATAGTTTCTCATGTGCAATTTAATTTGGTGTTGGAGGTTCTCATTATTCAGATTACTTTTTCCTCTAGGTGCTCAGCTCTTAGGATCACTATTTTATATGGAAATCTCAGGTTGTCATATGCAAAAAAAAATAAAATAATATTAATAAAAAAAATCTAGTACTCTTGCTTCCAGAGAAAAGCTCAGGTCCATACATTTTCATATACTTTTACAAGTAAATAAGTACAAATAAATTCTATCCCCACTTTCCCACCAAACTGCCCACCTGCCCCCCCCCCTCCCCCTCCAAGAAAATAAATCTAATTTCTAAAGAATTACTCTTTAACTGGGGGCCTTTTGAAATGATGGGTGGAAATGTTCAAGATGGGTGTCATTTCGATTCTAACTCCTTTGTGGATTTTTGTACTAATTTATTTTTTTAATTTTTGCATTTAAAGTTACTTTCCTGAACTCAAAAGTAGAATGTGTTCTTATAGAATACTGCTTCATGAAATGAGATCTGTTTGCATTTGTTTGTAAAACTCATTGCTGGGCAGATGGTTTTCACAGGTGTCTGCACCAGTTACATCTCTGTTTAAATAAAACCTGGCACTAGGATGAATTTAACACCGTAGGAATATATGTGAAATGTAATTAATATTCTGAAGGTTACATTTTTAATAATAGAAAGTTGATTTAATGCAAGTAGGGCTAATGAAGGTGTGAGAGTTTTTACAGTTAAAGGTGAGCGAATTCACTTTGAGAGTGACCAATCAAATCTGAATGGAGTTGCTTCATACATTGAATCTGGGAGAGCCTAAGAGAACATTTGAAATTTTGGGGAAGGTCATTACAAAGATTAACTTTCCATCACTACAGAGGTAAAGGAACTCTGGGTTTTGAGATGCAGCATTGCCCAAAGGTACTTTAATGTCAGAGGCTTTATTAATCTCCATTGCGGCATGGTATAAAATTGCAGTCCTCTTCTGATTTTTTAACCCATGTTCTATGGGAGCAGCTTTCAGTGCAAATGTTGAGGTCAGTAAGGTCAGAAGCATGTGCCTGCTGCTTTATTAACTACCAAAAAAATATAATAATAAAGGTGTTTCTTAGGCTTGATATCTCATCAGATGCGTAGTTCTAGCCCAGTGTCCAAACTTTCACAGGAGTTATCTGAACTAGTGACATTTCCTTATAGTGACTGGTAATAAATTCAGACAGTCAAATAGTCAGGATATTAAAAACGAGTCTTCACTCTGTACGTTTCTGAAAAACATTAGGTTATAAAAAAAATTTGGATTCTGCTTGTCAGTGAATAGAGGCGTTTCAGGTTTGAGTGGTCAAAACTCCTTGGTTTGCTTCTCAGGCTTTTTCATGTGCAAATTTTGTTGCATAATGGTCATGTTCTTTCAAGAATGCAGCTTTTTTTTCTTAGCAGTGGGTGAAGGATCCTTTTGTACTAATTGCCCAGTACATATTTAAGTACATGTGAAAAATGTTTATATACTCCAAATTCTACGTATATGACACTTTAAACATTACTTTCTGTGTATTTAGCTGAGCTCTTTCTCTAGGTAGCTATCAGCCCACAAACACTTCCATTGTGTTAAAAAAATATATGAAATCTACATGGTGGTAAATTCAGAATGTGTTCCACTTTGAACAATATTCTCTTTGCCTCCAATGTAAATCTGTGCTTGGCTTTTCTTTTCAAGATATTTTTAAAGACTTTTTCTCACAACACGAAGAAACTCAAAAGAAATTACTTTAACATGATAGAACTAAATGTCTATAAAAGAAGTTTCTTCATAGGAGAAGTAAATTAGAAGAATGCTTGTGCTTCTAAAAGATAATTAATTAAAAACTCTCCGTGTGGTGGCAAATCTAACGTCTTGTTTGACATGTTGAGAAAAAAGTGCTTGGAATTGCACAAGTAGAATAAAATGTTCCATTTCACAGCAAGGCCAAGCCTGAGTCTTGTAATTATTTCAAAGGGAGTAAAGGTCATTTTCTATTTGCTACATCAGTATTATGTGAAGCTTCTGTACCAGGCTTACAGAAGTTCACTCATGACCTATTTAGATTGCCCAGATTTCAAAGTCAACTTATACTGTCACAAATCTGATAAAATAGACGTATTCTCTTCTTGAAGAGAACTGACATAGATGATGTTCAGAGCAGGCTTTTCATTTATAGCTCTATGAGACAAGAGTTTCAACTTAAGACTTCAGATGCTGGGAGATCACAATATGATTTGCCTCTTATTTGATGCATTAGTCCTTTAGGGGAAGAATTAGGTTTGTAGTTAAATTTCAGCATATTTTGCTTGACTGTATTTTTGCGCATATTCATTGAGTAATAGCATGAGTCAGAGAGACAGGTATTTTAAAAATACATCTGTGTAGTGAAAATATGTGCAGAAAATACACGTTGAAATCTCACTAATGTGTGCATTTGACCACTTAAGTACATGCCAGGATATTTTTGATGATCAGTAATCGATTCATACACAATTTTGAGGGGAGACTCTGAGTACGTTTGTGTTTACAGATACCTTGTCCTGGACGACTGAAGGGGAACACAGTTCAATTCTCAACCTCTGTAGAGTGCGGAATCTCCAATAAAATCAATATATCAGTCTCAATAACTGAATGAGGGATTAGTCACTGTGCTTTTTCAAGGTTTTGTAAGAAAGGCAGCAGTTACATGGACATATAAAAGTGAATAATAGTCGAGTGTATTGCACCTTGCTTCATGTATTACTACCTTAAGTCTTTTCTTTCTTTGCTTAATCCCTCAAAGGGATAAATGTAGCAGAGGTCAGGGAGGAAAGGAAAGGTGTCTATCTGCTGCATTTGAATACTACCAGCTTAATTGTCATGAAATAGTCTGGCTATTTCTCAGTCTGTAGCACTTTTAGCCAAGCTTTTATAGCATATGTCAGTGACATGAAACAAATGATCCAATGCTTGGTTTCAGTGAGAAGAACTAATGCTGACCAGGTTAGGTACTGTTGCCTTTGATTTCTATAAATGGGATCATGTGAAACTTGGTGAGTGTGTGAAGTGCATGAAGAGAGTGAGCAGGAAATGTATTGCTCTGTTTAAGTGAATGGATTACAAGTGGTGCGGCTATGAGGGAAACATACAGATATTAGAAACTTTGCAGGGCATCTTTGTAGGATTAGAATCAGTTTACCTAGACAGCAACGTTGTGGAGGTAGAACCATGAAATATGGCTTTCAGGGCCACCACGTTATCCTGACCTTCTTTACCTTGGTCGTTATGGGTGTCCCATCTCTTTGAGTTTTCTTTGGATGTCCAACAAGAAGCACATTGGCCACAACAATTTTGAGATCATAGTGCTGTGTACATCAGGTTAAGGCCAGGATTTGAAAACCACCTTTGGAGGTTCTGAAGCAGAAACTACTTTTGAAAATGAGGCTATGTTTATATAAGTTGAAAAATAAAGATTTGTGTTTTCCTACTCTCTTGAACTTTTCTCCTTTTGCCTTTCTCTTTAACCTCTTAAACTACTTAGTATATTTCCTGCTGCCTCTTTCTTAGACATTCTTACCCCTGTGTTCTCATTTAAGAACTGCCAGGAAAAATAGCACTTCAGATTGTTTTTTGTACTCAGGGATAGAAAACAAACCTTCAGAGACTGAGATTGGCATTATACCTATTTCCAACAAATCTTATTTAGCTTTTAAGCTCCCTCCTTTGTCAAGGTGTTCCTGTGGTGACAAAGAAGTTTGGTGACTATATACTAAGAGTAATACAAATTGTATTTAATTTTAATCTTTAGATCCATCTCCAATATGATGCACACATTTCATTTTCAGTCTTCCCTTGGTGTAAAGAAGTTTTTGATTACGAGGAAAATGAAATAAATGTGACTCAAGAGGAAAAAAAATAAAATAATCAGTTTACCTTCAATTATTTAAATCAACTTAAAAGTGCTCAGTTTAAGCACGTATTTAAACTGAACTGGGTTCAATTGTGTTGTTAAGAGCAGCCTGAAAGCATCCTATGTCTTCATAAACAAATAATACCCTTTATTCATCATCTGGACTGAGAACCTAGCCCTCAAAGTTACTGTTTTGTAATCTCCATGCCAGCGCACACACATAAAAGCAAAAGCTTACATGAAAATTATGTTTAGCAAGGTTTGAAGGGGGAAGTGTGATGTGATGGATATTTTGTTTTATGAATGTGGAGCCCAATATTTGGTTTTATGAGCACTGAGCCCAAATCCAGTATCATTCCCAGAAGCTAACATGATGGATGAGTGAGTGGATGTTCAAAGTCCATTTCCTTTGTTTCTTCAGGTTCTGCTGCTTGCATGTGCAGAAGATTTAGAATGCATCCCTGGATTCCAGCAAAAGGTTTTTTATATTGAACAGCCATTTGAATTCACAGAGGACCAGCCAGTTCTGAACCGTATGTTATTTTCATATATTACTCTTGTGCAGAAATCAGAATTGCCTATATGTTCATATCACTCCTGCCATTTATCAGAAAGCTTTTTATTGTACGTAGGGTGTTGAATATTGCCATGATTCTACCTGTGCTCCCCTGCATTAATCCCATATCTCTAGAGAGTTTACTTGGTTTCATGTATTAGAGATGACAAAATACTATATATACATAAATTTAGGATAATATGAATGTTGTGAAAACTTTAAATCATCCACTTTTTGAAAAGTAAATTTCCTTGGAAATTTTTACAGTCTTTCCTATAATATTGGCAATTGCTTGGAAATGTCACTAGTAATTCCTCTCTGCAAATCTGGTTTAGAAGCTTGTATCTTAGAATTCAACCTCTCTTCAAAGACAGTGTAAGTCCTTTCCATGAAATTCAGAAGACTGGATCACGCTTCAGGTCATCAGTGACAGAATTTTTTTACTACATGTATTGTACAAATGGATTATTCAATAATACTTCCAATGCCCAGGTGTCACATCCAAACTGCTGCTGTATGCTTAAAGCATTAGCTAAAGGAGACTTAACTGTCTTTGAGTCCTGGTTTTAGTTCCTTCAAATATTTTTCTATAAGCAAGTCATACAACTTGTTCATTTCTGTGGCTTTGGGACATTGCTGTCATTTTCATAACTTTCAAACACATCCACGTTTGCACATGATATGTATATTACTAATAGTTCCTTAGTTATGCTTGGTTGCTTGCTGCTAAACCATGAATATTTCTAGATATGCCGCGTGAGATAGCAGTACTGCTATCTAAATACAGTATCTAGATCATATAAGGCAGTGCATAGTGACAGTCTAGTGAAACCAAGACATGCAAAGATATGTTACTCATTAAATGTATGTTTCCCATCTCGATTGCCTCCAGATACTATTACAACATATTGATATATGTGCACTGTTATGCTTGTTTGGATTAAGGTACAATATATTTGCATACAGATTTTAAAATACCACTAAATTTAAAACAAAACCAAAACAGACATGCTATTCAGAACTTTAAGATTATACAGTTTAGAAGACAGATTTCAAACTTCCAATTTCTTTAGGTAATTTTGCTCTAAATTGTTAACTCCCAAGATTGCTTTTAGACATTGATAAACGTGGTTTGATTGGATTTAAACATTCCTACATTGTTAAAATAAAAATCTGTAGATTGCATTTAATCATAGATTCTGAGAACGGTTGAATAGAATCCCCAGCTCTCCCAGGTGGAGAGGGAGAGGTGTTCCATAGGAGCTCTTTATAGGAGAAGTGCTCCAGCCCTATGATCATACTCATGGCCTTCCTCTGGACCAGCTTTACCAGGTTCATGTCTTTCCTGTGCTGATGCTGCCAGTAAGCCTCCAATGCTGAAAACTTATGCAAGGAAAAACAATATTAACTAGTTAGTGTTAACCTGAATGAAAATAACTTTTGTTGTATTCTTTATTTGCTTCTGAATTTTGAGGTTGTTGCATGTCTGGCCAGATCTCCTGCTGATTTGGGCTTGCTCTGCCAAACAAGTAAAGGATAAATTAACTAAGCCAGTGTTGACTGGTGAGCTCTGTGGTGAATCAGCAAACTGCACTGGTGTGAATCTGGCACATTAATTAAGATGCCATCATTAAAGTAAGAAGGAAAGAACAGGAGGAGATCTAGAAATGCCTGGAAACAATCTTGGAAATTAAATTATTTTAATAAGCAGACACTAAATTGGCCTAATATGTAATGTTCAACAAAGGCAGATTGTCGATGCATGATTCTAGTTAATTCAATCACTTGTAAATAGTATGTCCTTCATGCAGTGGTATTAAACCTCTGCACAGTTTCTTCATTTTAGCTGTCAACAGAATTGATATTTTTAATTGTCTGTTTGAATACACTTTGCATGCTCTTGCATCTTTTTATACCCATTACCCAAGAGCAGCGTAATTTAGCGGTTGCATTGGAATGTGAGGCTTTCCAGGGCTATGTAAATTAATAGAGTGAATATGCAAAGCAGGTCTACAGCAGTGATTGCTTTTGTAGTCCTCAATAAGGAAAGGAAAGGATCTTCTTAATTCTTTTCTGAAGTGCGATAAGTCTTTTTTTCTTTTTTTTTTTTTCTCCAAATTAAGCAAGGACCTACTGTACATTTCATTGTCAGCATCTTCCTAGCAATTTAATATAGGTTATGGCAGGTTCTTATGTATTTATTACTTTTAAATATGGCAATATTAATTATATTTTACGTTTACTGGTAGGAGGATAAACCCAAAGCAAGGGTACAGAATTTTATCTTTTCTTATTTTCACTTGTACTGATTCTTGCCCAAACCAATGTATAAGCTGACTGTAACAGATATATATCAGCCCAGTTGTGTATGCATGCCTTCCTTCCCATTAATTTCACTGGGCTCCTATTGCTATTTGTTATCTTTTATCCCATTGTGCTCAGATTGAACTGCTTTTTTATTGATTTATCATTACATCTCACTTAACAGTACCCTCTAGCATTACTCAGACAATTCATTATCCTAATTTCGTTTGTTGTATTTTACGATGGACTTTTTCTTTTCCTCATCAGACCACCTTCTGTCCATATCCCTTGTGTGTTCTATGACCACACACAAAACCAAGCACTTCTCACCTGCTTGTGAACTGCCCAGTTCTTTTCCCCCAGTGCCACCTTCTTAAAACCAGATGGTCCCTTGATGTGTTAGGAGAGGATTCATACAGCCACTCTCTGGAAATACAGAAGAGTCTTTCCACATAACTGTTGCTTTAACAGGCAATAACATTACTGGATTTTTCTTCTTTGTAGCTCTTTCAGTTTATACCTAAGACTGTCTTCTGCAATTAAATAGAGGAGATCACAAAGATTGTTAGGTTCTTGATAAGGTGATAATTGACAGCATTAATTGCAGGTTTTACCTTTCTGAAACATTTGTGGCCATCAATATACTTTCTCATCAGCAAGCTTGTCTTCAGCAATGCTGACAGGTCATGGGTAGTGACAATGCTCTGTCATGGCAGGCTGATAGAAAGTTCCTAATCAGACCTATCAAACGTGGAAATGTAACCGTGTTACATTAATCATGTTTATACTTAACATACATGTGTCTGGGCTTTTGGGGGTACTTTTAATTGACAATAAATCAAATAATACACTTGAAAAATTGAGGCAATTAACATAAGGCATTAGGTGATGTGTTGTGCATACTAAACTGGGGAATACATTGTCAGTGATTTAAATGTCAAAACAAAAGAATTTTTGACCCTTACTTGAAAAGCTTTAATTTGGATGTTAATTAATGGCTGACCTCTTCTGTCTCTTACATGATAGATTGCATGTTTCAGAGCTTGAGCTGTTTCAAGATCACAGCTTTGTCTGTTTGCATTTGTGTGCTTTTTCATTCTGTGGATTTAACAAAGACATTTCTATTCAGTCATAGAAAATCTTTATTTACTCATAAGGTGGGAAATACATTAGTCTGCTTATCATTAATACTTGAAGGCTGAATACTTGAATACTTCGCTGTTTAGCAAGGCTGAAGCCTCCAACAGATTTCCTTTGTTTGAATTGAGTAATGCCTGTGGAAAGATCAGAGAAGACCATTCCTACTGTTATGACATCAGGCGTGTATATGGATCATAGCGCTGATCACGCTCACATCGAAACATTTCATACAGATTCTCAGATAAATAGATGAGGGCTGTGTGAGATCTGTGATTTATCACATCCACTATTCCCACTGTTTACCGTGCCATTTGACTTTACAGACAGTGTGAACCAGTTGCAGAAATAGTCTATTGATATTACATTGTTACTCTCTATTTACTCTGATCCATACAGTTATCACATTTTTCATCTCCCCTGCTTCACTTTTTCTGCAACTTGTATAGAGCCAATGTTGGCAGCCTAATTCAATATACTGTAATTTGCCAGATCCTCTACAGAGTTTTAACATGAGGTTTTTACACCAGAGTTGGCTCTTCACTCTGAACATGCCAGGTTTTAGGTAATTAGAACTAAAGGTGGTAGTTGCAGCTTGCAAAATAACAAGTTCGAGTGAGGTAAGGTTTTTGGCTTAGTAATTTAATGCAGGCAAAACTGTCTAGACTTTTGGGCAACAACTAGTTAACTATGGATTTTTCACTTAATCAGGTGTGTGTGTGTGTACATATATATATATATATATATATATATATATATATATCTGTAGCATGTCTTGTACTTCTTTACAAAATGTTGAAAAATAATTCCTGTGCTGGACGTGCGTTAGCAGGTTCTATAGTAATATGCCTGTCAACCTTTCTAACCAGAAAGCCAAATGTTGTTTATACTCCAAAATGCATCTTAATGTGTGTGTGGCAATACATAGAACTTGAATACCAGAGCCTCAGTACTGGCACTTGAATGCATGATTAAGTCCAGACTTCTGGGACTCAGTGTTATGCCATGTGGATGGAAATATTAGTCAGGATTTGAAGCCAGACATTAGGGATATCCCTTAATCATGCTGTTCCCCCTTAGATAGCTGTAGGAAGCCAAGTTCCTGTTACCAAAATTTCAGTATTGCCTAACTCTTACACAAACATAATGAGAAAATTTTCTGCATAAGTACTGCAAATAGGTATTGTTATTGTAAGAGTATTAATATTGAACACCTTGGTAATGTTTCTGAATAGATGTATGCAGAGCAATGTTTCAGCTTAACACCATCATCTCTTATACTCCTTTCACACATGACTAAAGCAAAAACAATTTAAAATCAAACAAACAAAGCAAAATGGGTGGCCAGAGAGTTGCCTTCCAAACAGTACTTGTCAGCTTATGAACAGGATCTGAAGGGAATTGTTTCAAAACTATGCTTCAATTTTTATGCATATGCATTTAATTAAACCTTTTTTTTTTTTCTTGCAAGAGGGTAAGATATTAGATGACAACGTGGAAAAAATAATTAGTCTCTGAGAAATATCTTCCATGCTA